TGGTTCACCGTATCAAAAGCAGCAGACAGATCCAGCAAAATAAAAGTATAGAAGATTTGGAAGTCGCTCTTATATATACTATTAGTCATTTTGCTTCAGTTTCAAAATACAGTGCAAAAATAATTAAAACGTCATTATTTAAACAATTAATTTTTTTATTTTCATCCACAAATAAAACAGTAATGAGTCACGGTGATTTCACAATTGGAATCACTTCTACAGCAGAAGCATTACTTTACCAGATTATACAGAGCAACCTCAGGCTGAAAGATACATGACTGAAGCTCTGGGTGCTGCTAATAAATTACAGGTCGGCGATAGGCTTGTGTGGCCAGTATGGATGCTTTGCCTTGTCCAGCTTGGTCTCTGGGAAGGTGTTGTTGAGATCTTCTATGGTCATCTGGTCGAAAGGAATCATGTTCCTGAACATCTCAAGCTGCCAAGGACAAACAGTCAGATGGGAAAAATATTTAAAATGCTTAAAAATGTTGAATTTGATCAAATCCAATCATTTTATTAGTGAGTATTATGGCAAAGATTTACTTATAAGCACAGCCTGACATACTTTGGTCTTGTGACAAGTTTCAGATACACTGAGCAGCTAATGTGCATTTTTGTGCAAGTGTGTTTCTTCTGTTGTTGTCAGCAGACTATTCAATATTAATTGGGTCAGCGAGCAATCATTATTTATTATAAATACATGACATGGGTTCATGTTCTGGTCCATCTGCACAAACATGAAAAGGGTTGGTGCTTACATGCACTTTAGACTAATTTACCAAGATAGACTGGAATAAACTGCTAAATGACTATCAACACGATACAGTGATGCTGCAGGTTGAACTTACCGCCTTCTCATACTCAGCAATACGAGCTTTAGATGCTTCAAAGTAAGCAGTTGCAGTTTTGTTCTGAAATACATCAAGAGACACAACATAATGATATGTGAATGACATTAAAAAAATTTTTTTTTAAAAACTAGACCACTGGTGCAATCAGTTCTAAATAGAATAATGAATTTGGTCTAGTACATA